CGATTTAACCTGTCATTTCGTGTTTATAGTTTCGGTATTTCTGAACTTTCTGGACTTTTCTTTTAAACGTTTTAAAACATTCCTACGATCTTAATAAACAAGAAAATACCTTTAAAGAATTATTTTTAGGTGCGGAAACCACTTCAAATTACAAAAACATACGGAACTATATTCTCAAAACGCGGAGCACATTTCTTGCCGAGGAAAAATAGCGGAGTGATACGGACCGCGGGTAATACTTTCTATAGGGCACCATTTGTGTTGCCAGCTGAACCTAAAAACGTGTTGTATAGTGTTTGAAAGACTAATTATTATTTATATGCTTTATAGTGACTGTAGGAAAAATATAATGTGTAACACGAGTGAAAAAGGCCTTTGCTGCACTCGAGATCATTCCGCACGAGCCGCAGGCGAGTGCGTAAACATTGCTCTCGTGTGCAGCAAAGTGCCACTTTCACCACTAGTTACACAAATAACTATTTCACTCATCCTTCGCTCATGTTTGGGTTAAAATACGCACATAGGTGGCGCTCCATCTCATTAATTGATGTGATTGATTAATATTGATTGTATAAAATGAGAGTTGTGTATGATCGCACTATTGGACAAATTTGACCATTTTTACACAAACAAGATTAAACAGAAGTTACGATTGAGCCAAATTATTGTCTTAGGGTAGGATTGGAAAGTAAGTATAAAACAGTGTAGACCTTCAATGTGATTCATAATCTAGAACAAAAACTAAATTTTTCAACGTATACGTAAAGTAAAATTTTCGAGGTTTATCCATATTGTTGTACGTAAACATTCTTCACAGTTATCTAGAATAGATCAATACAACTCCCAGGAAGTTTTAGTAACTAAATATGTTTTTCGTAAGAATATATACCAAGTCGTCAGAATACACAGTTCACTACCGTATAGTATAATCCACAGGTTAAGTTGCAGATTGATAAAAAAGCTAGATAAAACAATGATGTGAGAAGTAAATATAACATTACAATGATGCAGGCAATGATAACAAAGGTCAGTGATAAAGTCGTACTCAAGGTCATTGATATCCAGTGGACCATTTCGGCCAGTGGCCTGGCAGACTGACCAAGAACGATGTAAACCCATCTTATAAAGAAATTTAATTGAAATTAATGATTTGACAGGTCAATACTACAGCTGTAGAAGATGTAGTTTTTAACCGACTTCCCCACTACCAAAAAAGGAGGAGGTCCTCGATTTATTTGTGGCAATGTTTTTATTTTCTATGTATGTTCACCAATTTCTCTGTGATTCTTTTACCGATCAGCGTGGTTCCACCACCAAAATAACCAGGAGAGTTTCTATTTGGTCACATATATATATTATGTTTAAGTGTAATACTTGTTTCGGTGAAAAATGTTGAAAACCTAAAATATTCAACATTTATTTTGTTTATATTTGTGCAGAGAAGGCAACAAATAATAATAATATTCCTACAGCTGTTAGTTGATACCATTTAAATGAAGCTACAGACAGTTCTTCATGAAACAGTTGCTTCATATTGAATAATAAACTATTGTTTGCCATGGAGCCTAAATAAATGACATTGAAAAAAAAATCGTTTTGGTTACAATAAAAAAGGTATTTCAACGTTTGACCTAATTTGTGTATAATTCTGTTTTGAGTATTGAATATTCTGACTTATAAAAACATAGTGAATAGCTGTATGATATTGATAAATAAAGGTGTATTGTGAAAACCAAAGCATTCGTAAAAGAGGTCCAAATATACATTTAATGCAATCATTCCTTACACGACCTAAGAAGTGTGAGAGTGCATAATCGTAAATCGTCTTAAAAGTACCTATTAAATATTTTAAATACTAAACATGCATTTGCAGATGTGGAATGTTTATTAATATTCTCCACCCATGTAAAAAACACTATATCATATCAATACTATTATGCCAGCTTCGGAAAGTCCTAGAGGAAGCTGATTTGCAATTTTGACTACATCTTGAGAAAACAAAACCACCTACCCCTTACATCTCTTTTAGCTGAACCAATCTTTCATATACAAATTTTACAAAGGTACTATACGTGTTAACGACCAATTTTCTACTTTTGAGAGATTTTTTAGTGCTAGTAGCTGAGGAATCACTTTCATATTGTTCCAAAAGGCTTTAGACGTTGCTGTATTTCTTTTTATAATGTAGAAGTACACCGATTGCAGGAAACGATGATGTCTGGCATTTCAATGTCTCTAGGAAAGACTTTAGTTTTTCATTAGGCCTAATGGAAGTAAACTCTTTGTTTTTTAAGCAAAATCTAAAAATGTTAATTTTAATACTTATTGATTATGTAACCTGAACAGGTGACTAAAACAGTTTTAAAATAATGATTGTTCTGTGACACTTTTTATTGTTTCAAACAGTTTTGCTTATCAAAAAACCTCAAAGTAATTAATATATAACAAATTATACAGTCACTAAAAATCATGAAATAATTTATTTTTGTAAAAAATACAACCGACTTCAAATGCTCTAAAAAGAATGAAATAATTTCCATAAAGTAAACTTTTTTTATCAGTCAAGCTCACGTATTTCAAGTCGGCTCTAACTGCAAATATGGATAAAATAAAAGATTGAGAGTGTATTTTGAAAATCAATAAATTATACCTGGATAACATAAATATATTTAAAAAAACATACTGAACTGTTTCGTGTATATATATCAAAAGTAAGTATTTTCTTGTATTTTATGTTTACTTCAGAACGAATGCCTTATGAAAATAACACACACACATATTCTATACGAATAGGAAAATAATTTATTTTGATATTATGATAGAGAAAAGAAGCTACTTTAATATTAAAGCGTTACTTTTCCAAGTAAGAAACATTTAAATGCATTATAATCTTTTAAAGATACTCGTTAATACCACTATAGGATTATAATTTATTATATTATTTAAAAAAAGTTATGATATGGTATCTGCCAATCTTTGGTTAAAGTAATAAAATAACACCCAACGCATAACTATGAAAAAGAAATGCAATTATAGATAGTCACCTGTAATGTGGACATCCTCTTTAAATTTTGTATCAAAATCATCATAGAGCCGCGCCGACTTAAAATACGTGAGCTTGACTAATACAAAAGTTTACTTTATTGAAATTATTATTTCATTCTTTTTAGAGCGTTTGAAGTCGGTTGTATTTTTTACAAAAATAAATTATAGGGGTTCCCGTTGATGAAAATGGCTTAACAAATATCACTAACTTAAAAATTCTTAAATATTACGTTTTTTGACAAAAGCTCTTGCTTATCCAACATTGGTCCGTGATATTCTACTATATTAACAAAAAGATTACACTGGAGTTTATAGATAATCCCTAGAAGTAATGTTGGTTAATAAAACAGATGTCTTCGTTTAACAGTGAATGTTAAAAATTGCATTTTCTAAACCATTTTATAGAAACATTAATTTTCAAAGGCAATTTTCATTGAATATTCAATAGTCAAAGCGATTATCAAAACTATTGTTTCTAATCAATATTTTGAGCTGCAATACGACTTCATACATTAACTTTAATTTATTAACATACTCTCTCATATATTCGTCTTATATAGACTCTTAAAGAACTTATAAACTTGTAATAAGATGAACAAGAAATGTGGATAACATGTTAAACATAGCTTAGTCACCACATCATTACGTGCCAAACTTCTGAAACCAATTCAAAGAGCCTTGCTAATCAGATTTGTATTTGATTTATACTTGAGCTTAATCCTGGTGCTCCCAGCGTAGTTAATACTGGTGTAATTGCCATGAACACGAATTTTCAATCAAAACTGGATTATGAATCAAAATACTTCAACATAGATGCTGTGCTATTGATAAATACATCATACCGTTGTTGTGAAATAAAATATTTACATTATGTATTTAAAAAAAACCATAACATGTTTTTCATATTGCATTAGGGTTGTCTTTTTTACTAATTTTCAACTCCTATTTATTATGTAGGTTCTTATTGATTTCTTAAACAGCGTACACAATTAAACTTTTTTCACATTAAAATATTCGTAAATACAGTCTTATAACGGTTAATAAAAAGCGAGCACAATCAGTTTCATTTCGTCACGAATTTTTATTTCTGTGTTACATAAAGGAGTTGAGTTTACAATCCCAAGCCATTTCTGAACAAATAAGTACGAGCAAACAAATTAACAGACATTTAAACATTTAATATGTTTTTGTATAGAAGAATCAATGTTTTAATTTAGCATACTATTTGAATAGTAAAATTTTAACAAAACAATTTAAATATCTTATAAATGGTACGATTAACTATATTTCACTGGTGAAAACACATCAATGTTAGCTACTCTGTCTTCAAAATTGGTAGAAAATCTTTACTGAAAATTGTGAAGTCGTAAAAGTGTATAATATCTATGGACTAAGTAAAATTATTCATTTAATTTGGAAATAAACTCGTAAAAAACGTCCAGTTACGAGATACGAGATCATATACGAGATTCCAATTGTGTTTTTCTTGCTTGCTAATCCTTTTCAAGTAAACATTGTGTTTTAATGAGTTTAACTTTACGGTGCATTTTACGGTTAAATTCCAAAATGATTATAATCTGTCTAATATAACAATATACATACGGAAATAATGTCAATATCAGCATATTTTTTATTAGACTACTGCATGTACCTTCACAATTGCACATTAATATGTGTACCGAATTCATTAAAACACAAAATAAAAAAGCTTAAACGGAATTTAGAGCCATACTATGTAGTGAGAATTTATAAAAATGTTAATTTGTATTCACAGGGTAAATAAGAAAGTAATGTCTGTGTTATACTTTTAATTAATTCACACATTCCAGATTAATTTTAGTACTTATTATTATCTCAACGTCCATAAAACCTATTATAAACTTAATTTTAAAAAATTGGGAAGCTTATATTTGATAATCATACAAAGGGCATTTATGTATCAAAATTATACTTACAGACAACTGAAATGACAGAGGGGGAGAGAGAGATAGATGGAGAGCAGGCTGGGATCCTCTTCGTCCGCCGTCTGGACCACGACTGAAGCTGGGTCTCTCCCTTCCCCTCAAATCTCTTCCCTACCACCTCCCCTTTCCACCCCCTTTATATGGAAGGTATTTCACTCATTGTTGATCATGTGATAGTCTTGTTTCGTATGTTGCAAGTAGATAACTCCTTGAAAATGCAGAATTATAATGCAACCCAGAGATTTGCTCTTCGTTTAGATTAAGTTGAATTGTTGGTTTTGCAAAAAGTAATTGAGACGTTGGGTGTTTAAAGTGAACTGTTTATTGCAGTGTACAAAATTTCGCTTGTGCATTGCATTTTCTGGAGAGTACTAGTTTTTCATTTTGATTTTTTTTTCAATTTATCCTTAATTGTTAGAATTACACGTCTCATAAAACGACATTTTACCACGTTTTAACATCCTCAAACTTGGAGCACTAGTTAAATTCTGTAAAGGGTAAGTTTTGTATCTAACATCTCTTATTAATGCATATTTTACTTGTTATGCAAATTACAAAAGGCATAGATAACACGTTTCAGAATGTGCGGACGTTTAAACATTACACAAATAATGCAGCGATATTTTGATATAATTTCAGTAACCAAATTTACTGAAATACTTATTTGAATACAGGACTGATTTTAAAACTTAAATTAACATTTTTAGTTTCCATTAGGAGTTTTTTTTATCTCGATAAAGATATATATAGAGGGATAAATATAATGATATCATTTGTGGAAAAGTTATTGCTCGTGACTTCTTCTCCATATTGATAATCGTTTTCATAAATTCACTTTATAATATTTTGTGTACTCATATAATAGTTTTTTTTTTACCTATTACTTGATATTTTGGAAATCAAGCTGCAGTAGTAAGTGCTATAGTATTAATTTACCGATTTTGTAAATGATAATTATTGTCTGTCAGATCAGTGTAAGTAGCTCATCTGTTCAGTATGTATGTACCTACTTGAGTTTCAGGTCGGGTAGAGGATTAAGTTTTACAGAGCTCGACAAGCACATGCATGTCAACATAGAGTCTCTCAACTCAAAGTTTGCTCTACACATAATACTGCAAATCAGGGTAACCGAACTGAACATTCAAACTTGTTATCTGCTTAGGCTTAAAGCTTCGTCCCTTCAACACATTTGTTGTACTGTATAATGGAAGTTTTAAATAAGTGGGCTATTTTAATTTTGCGTGTTTATATTGTGTACTTTATAATGTTAAAGATTGCTATTCAATTGAATACAGTGTTCAAATAGTTCCACCACAAAGCACAGTTAAATCATATTATGAATTCCTACATTTGTACCAATTTGTATAAAAAAACACCATAAGATTTACCTAAGTTTTTCATTCTAATATGAGTGTAAAATAAAAAATTCAATAGCTTTTGTTATACTAATCATATTCAAATTTAATTTTTTTCTGTAACCAATAGGGGGTTTAAACGAAATAAATTACTACAACATATTTTCACAAAATATTCTATATGCTTTGTGCCAATCTACGAGAGTGTTAAATTATGAGAATTTATCAGGTATGATTACCGGTACATAGACTACTATTATTAATACATTTCTGTAAGGTTTCAAATGTCAAATATAATACGGTTTAGTCATACAATATATTGAATTCCCCTATCGTATCAGACATGTGTTGCATAAAACACCAGTAGCTAAGTTTCCTTTGTAGCGGAATACAATCCTCATATGACAAATATACATAGTATATGGAGAAAAAGTATTGTTTTCGTCTAGTTGGAGTTTTGAGTGGGTGTATCCGTTTTTGGCCCATATGGGCCCAAAAAAGTAAGTTTTGAAGTGATGTCTGTGTGTGTGTGTGTGTGTGTGTGTATGAGTGTGGATGTGAGCTACAGACTACATCTGTGGTCCGATATTGATGGAATTTGTTAACTAATCCATGGTATGTTCAGGCGTTTTTTTAATTGTGTTGTAATTCTGATTTTTAATTGTGATTTTTCCATAAAAACAAATAAAATAACCGAAAAATGTGATTTTCTACACAAACGGCCAGAACGATTTTGATAAAAGTTTAGTATGTTGTAGCCCTTTAAATTCAGAGAAAATGGTACAAATACCATTTCCGTAAAAACCATTGCGATTATACCTATTAAATATCATAGTTAGTTACTCTCGTCGCTTATAAAGGTTTTTGGCAAGCTAATAGGAGAAAGTATGTGTCAGATTGCTGATAACGTTTATTTTTAACGCTAGTACAAAAAAACACCGTACGGGGTATTATTAACCGACTTCCCCACTACCAACAAAAGGAGGAGGTTCTCAATTTGTTTGTGGCGATGTTTTTTTTTTTCTATGTATGTTCATAAATTTCTCTGTGATTCTTTTACCGATCAGTGTGGTTCCACCACCAAAATAACCAGGAGAGTTTCTATTTGGTACCTTATATATTATGTTTAAGTATAATATTTGTTTCGGTGAAAAATTCTGAAAAACTTAAATATTCAACATTTATTTTGTTTACATTTGTGCAGATTGTTGACATTTGTGCAGAGAAGGCAATAAATAATAATAACATTCCTACAGCTGTTAGTTGAAATCATTTAAAAGAAGCTACAGACAATTCTTCATGAAACAGTTGCTTCATATTGATCAATAAACTATTTCTTGCCATGGAGCCTAAATGAATTAATTGAGAAAATACATTTTGTTTTGGTTACTATAAAAAATTTATTTTAACGTTTGACCTGATTTGTGTATGTACAGTAATTCTGTTTTTAGTATTGAATATTCTGACTTACGAAACCATATATGTTTCAGTGAATAGCTGTATGATATTGACAAATAAAGGTGTATTGTGAAAACCAAAACATTCGTAAAACAGGTCTAAATATAAATTAAATGCAATTATTCCTTACAGACAGTGCATAATCGTCAATTGTCTTAAAAGTGTTAAATATTTTAATTACTAAACACGCATTTGCAGATGTGGAATGTTTATTGATATTCTCTACCCAGTTACTATATCATATCAATACTATTATGCCTGCTTCGGAAAGTCCTAGAGGAAGATGATTTGCAATTTCGACGAGGCTATATCTTGATCAAACAAAACCACCTACATGGCTTGCACCACTTTTAGCTTACCCAATCTTCCATACACATATTTCATTTGCAGATGTGGAATGTTTATTAATATTCTCTACCAAGTTACTATAACATGTCAATACTATTATGCCTGCTTTGGAAAGTCCTAGAGGAAGATGATTTGCAATTTCGACTAGGCTATATCTTGAGCAAACAAAACCCCCTACCTACATGACTTACACCACTTTTAGCTGAACCAATCTTTCATATAATATTTTCCAAAGGTACTATTCGTGTTAACGACCAATTTTCCACTTTTGAGAGATTTTTTAGTGCTGCTAGCTGAGGAATTACTTTCATATTGTTCCAAAAGGCTTTGAGACGTGACTGTATTTCTTTTTTATAATGTATAAGTACACCGATTGCAGGAAACGATGGATGTCTGACATTTCAATGTATCTAGAAAAGACAATTAGTTTTTCATTAGGCCCAATGTAATGTACAACTCTTTCTTTCTTAAGGAATATCTAAAAATGTTTATTTTCATACCCATTGATTATGTAACATGAACAGGTGACTCAAGCAGTTTTAAAATAATGATTGTTCTGTGGAACTTTTGATTGTTTCAAACAGTTTTGCTTATCAACAATCCACAAGTAATTAATATATAAAAAATTATACAGTCACTAAAAATCATGAAATAATTTATTTTTGTAAAAAAATACAACCGCCTTCAAACGCTCTAAAAAGAATGAAATAATTTCAATAAAGTAAACTTTTGTATTAGGCAAGCTCACGTATTTCAAGTTGGCGCGGCTCAAACTGCAAATATGATTGAAATTAAATATTGTGTGTGTATTTTGAAAATCAATAAATTGTAGCTGGATAACATAAATATATATAAAAAAAAACATACTGAACTGTTTTGTTTATATATTAAAGGAAATATTTTCTTGTATTTTATGTTTACTTCAGAATAAATACATTATGAAAATAACACACACACAAATGTTCTATATGAATAGGAAAATAATTTAGTTTGATATTATTATTATGATAGGGAAAAGAAGCTAGTTTAGTATTAAAACGTTACTTTTCCAAGTTAGAAACATTTAAATGCGTTATAATCTTTTTACAGATACTCGTTAATACCAATATAATGCCGATCTCTGATTACGGTAATAAAATATCACTTAACGCATAGCTATGAAAAGACATGTAGATTAACACCTTTAGTTATAGATAGTCACCTGCAATATGGACACCCTCTTTCAATTTTGTATCAAAAATCATCATAGAGCTGCGCCGACTTAAAATACGTGAGCTTGCCTAATACAAAAGTTTACTTTATTGAAATTATTTCATTCTTTTTAGAGCGTTTGAAGGCGGTTGTATTTTTTTACAAAAATAAATTATGTACTATTACTACTATTATTAAATAAATAAACCTTCAGCAAAGTTTTACCCTTGACTAAGGTTTTATTAAACATTCTGATTCCAATTACCTTTGTTAAAGTGTGAAGTAAAAAGCATACGAAACATGTAAAGAGTAAATATAGTCATTTTGTTTCCATTAGACCAAATCAATAAAACTATTTCACAGGAACTAAAACATTATAGTTCGAGAAGTAAAGTGCTTAAGTAATAAGTACCTATGGAATTTTAAAGTATTCACAAACTTATGATAATAATAAATTTAACTATTTGGTATGGACCGATGAAAATAATCGGCTTAAAAACATTGGACACTGAATCAATTACTTGATGAATGAGTGACAGAATCAATTGGTAAATTAATTGATAATCAGACTCTAATTTGCATTAGAAGTGATCTTATGACCTCGTTCGACCCCATTGATTATAAATAATCGCCAATGCAGTACGATAAAAACAATTCAGAGTAATGAGTATGATAATTATGACGAGCTAAACATAAAACAAATGATTATATGTTAC